TTTTTTTTTGAGACAGTCTGGCTCTGTTGCCCAGGCTGGAGTAGAGTAGCGTGATCTCAGCTCACTGCAACCTCTGCCTCCAGGGCTCAAGTGATTCTCCTGCCTCAGTCTTATGAGTAGCTGGGATTACAGGTGCATGCCACCGTGACTGGCTAATTTTTGTTTTTTAGTAGAAACGGACTTTTCCCATGTTGGCCAGGCTGGTCTTGAATTTTTGACCTCAGGTGATCCACCCACCTCAGCCCCCAGAGTGCTGGGATTACAGGCGTGAGCCACCGTGCCCAGCCACTTTTTAAAATATTTATTTGGGTAGTACTAAAAACTCAGATCTGCTGGTCTGGGATGAATGGAAGGCTGTTATCATTTTCTCCACAGGTCTCCTAAAGCCAAAACAGTCGCACTATGGAGGAGCACGTTGACTCCCTATAGAAAATTATATCACGCCCTTTAGAAAACAGTGCCAGACCTGACCAGTCTGCTCTGTAGTTAGCATCCAAAAACTAGCATTTTCAACCCAAAGCTGGGGACACAGAGGGCAGAGCAGTGTGGATTCAGGCCTGAGGCATCACTGCTGCAGCAAACCTTCTCAGGAATCCTACTGCGACTCTCCACACAGGCCTCTCATCACACTTCCGAAGCAGTACCAGCCCTTGCCCCCTGAGCCGGAGAGCAGCAGGCCACCTTTAGCTCAGAGACATACCTTTCCGGAAGTCCAGGGAATGCCCAGGTGAGAGAGTCATCATTAATGGTGAAATGACCAGCAAGAGTGTGGGTGTGGGGAAGGGGACAAGGAAAACCAACCAAAGTACCTGTCAAAGCAGGCTCCCTAATGGGTGGGGAGTGTTTTGGTCCATTCAAAGACATAACCAAGACTGGGTAATTTATAAAGAAAAAAGTTTTAATTGACCCACAGTTTCACATGGCTGGGAAGCCTCACGAAACTGACAACCATGGTGGAGGGGGAAGCAGGCATGTCTTAGGTGGCAGCAGGTGACAGAGACTGTGTCCAAAGCAAAGGGAGAAAAGCCCCTTATAAAACCATCAGATCTCATGAGAACACATGCAGTAACATGAGAACAGCATAAGGGAAACCTCCGCATGATCCAGTCACCTCCCACCAGGTCTCTGCCTCAACACCTGGGGATTACAATTAAAGATGCACTTTGGGTGGGGACACAAAGCCTAACCACGTCAGGGAGGAACCAGTTATACCTAGAGGAAAATAGTCCTAGAAACCTGTGTTTTGATTCTTTGCAGGAAATACCGCTTCTCTGTAAGAAAATGAGTTATTGAAAGAATTGCTCACTTGTGGCCTGAATTAGTTTATAAAGAAAATGTCAAATGCCAGAACAGAATCAGCATATTTTATGTAAGAACTGAAAGGGGATTCAGATTATTCCAGGACCAATATTGGCCCCCAGCTTCCCATTACCCAGGCTGGAGAAATATAACCATGCTTGAAAACTCTTTTGTCAAAAACATTATTGCCTTTATGAAAAATAAATATAATAAACCATCCCTCTGGTATTAAGCACTGATGACGGCTCCTTGTTCCCAAACGTGTGGGACATTTGGCAGCTGGTGCTAATCACAGAATGCGACAAACTCGAGTGAGCATATTTCATTTGCCCAAAAGAGTTTAAATTTCCAAAATTACCTTATTTTGAAAGTCAGAAAAGAGATTAGCATTTCCTTCTTGTTCCTGCATAGAATGAAGGGATGCTTTCTTAATTTTCATCCTTCTTCAAGCTTGCATCAGCAGTGTGGGGCACAGGCATTATTTAGTGAGAAAGCATTTCTCATGGATACAGAAACTCAGGATATCAGGCTCATTTTGAGCTTCTATGGGAAACCCGTTCATCACTGATTCTAATGGGGACCATTAAATAGCCTGAAATGTCATTCCTCCTTCTGTGGCGAATGTCTCTTCACCATGTCCTTCACTATAGCCCCACACAAGCATAAGTTTTCCAAGAAACACCTTCCTTGTTGTCTTCCCATGGAGTGCCCTCTCTTTTCTGTCCCCCTTTCAACTGCCATGGCAGCGTGGGAAGGAATAGAGGCTCTCAAGTCTAGATTCAAATGGTTTGGCTTTGTATTAGTTCTCACATTGCTATAAAGAAATATCTCAGACTGGGTAATTTATAATGAAAAGAGATTTGATTGGCTTACAATTCCATAGGCTGCACAGGAAGCATGATTCTGGCATGTGCTCAGCTTTTGGAGAAGCCTCAGGAAACTTACAATCACGGCAGAAGGCAAAGGAGAAACAGGCTTGTCTTACATGGCAGGAGCAACAGAGTGAGGGGGGAGCTGCTACACTCCTTTAAACAACCAGATCTGGCGATAACTCACTATCATGAGAACAGCACTGAGGGGATGGTGCTAAATCGTTCATGAAGGATCCACCCTCGTGATCCAATCATCTCCCACCTCCAAAAGTGAGGATTACACTTCAATGTGAGATTTGGGTGGGGACACAGATCCAAACTATGTCAGGGTTGAAATTTAGATTCTAATTCTCATGAATGATGGATCTGGGGAAGCGATTCTAAATTATGGGTGACTTTATCCTCCCTCTCCCCATTGGACAGTTAGCAATGTTTGGAGACATTTTTGGTTGCAGCATCTTGAATAAGCAATGCTACTGGCTGCTAGAGAGTAGAGGCCAGGGAGGCTGCTAAGCATCCGACAGTGCACGGGACTGCGCCACAACAGAGAATAACCTTAAAAGGTTAATATTGCAAAGGTTGAAAAACTTTGCCCTAACACTTCTAGCAAAGTACTGAACTTTTTCCAAGCCCAAGGTTTTACTCTGCAGTAAAGAACAGATAATATTAATATTTACCACCTACCTCATGGGCTAAGGTGAGAATTAAATGAGGTGATTCCTATAAATTGCTTAACAATGCTTGCCCAGTACCTATTTTTAACCAACATTTATTGCACTTTTATTACCTTGGGCCCATTGGTACCTATGTTACCCCATATAATATAACAAGTTAACAAATCTGTTTCTTCTACCCCAGGAAAGGGTGGAGGAGGAACTGACTCATTTCAGCACCCATATAACCTGGCACAGTGCCTGAAATATAGTAGATGTTGGATAAATATAAATTTCCTTCTGCATCTTTCAAAGGAACCTATCCAGACTAGGAGTAAGCAGATTTGCTCTGTTTTGATTTCCATTTTCAAAGAGTGAGAAACTGGGAGGCAACAGTAATAACAGACCATCCAACCCATGAAGCTGTGTCATCAGAATTGGAAACGTGAAATGCAGCATTCCTAAAGCTCCTGGTCAAATAGTCTAATATGTAAAGGACTGATCCAACCTCAGAGAAGTAAGCAGACAGAAAATAGGATCAATAAAATACCGAGACTGGGCATAATGGCTCACGCCTGTAATCCTAACACTTCGGGAGACCGAGGCAGGCGGATCACATGCGGCAAGGAGTTCAAGACCAGCCTGACCAACATGGCAAAACCCCATCTCTACAAAAATACAGAAACTAGCTGGGTGGGGTGGAGCATGTTTGTAATTCCAGCTACTCTGGAGACTGAGGCATGAGAATCGCTTTAACCTAGGAAGCAAGGGTTGCAGTGAGCCAAGATTGCACCACTGTACTCCTGCGACAGAGGACGACAGAGGGAGACTCTGTCTCAAAAAAATAAATAAATAAACTAAAATAAAATATTGAAGATGATAAGGTTGTTCAGTGTGGAGAAAAAAGAATTTTATCTTCTTTCTGTTTCCTCATGCTGAAAAGAACAGTATCGTGGGACCTGGTAGCAATGAGTTTGGATCCCAGTTGAGCCAGTTTTGGCTGTACGATTTCAGAAAAGCTCTTTAACAACTCTGAGTTTCGCTTTTATTATTTATAAGAAGAAAATAACCATCTTCATGTGATAAAATGACAATGAGAAGGCATGCCATTCCTGTAAAGTGCCTAGGATAATATCTGTCACAGCACAGGAAAAGAAGAAGAAAAGAAAAGAAAAAGCAAGCAAGAGAAGGAAGGAAGGGAAGGGAAGGGAAGGAAGGAGGGAAGGGTAAAGAAATCCTACTTCTCCCATGTGTTCTCAGCAGAATTGGGTATCCAGCATCTATAGCCGTATATTTTTCTAGAAATAGAGACTGTATTTTTTTCTTTTTCGAGGTGAAGTCTCGCTCTGTTGTCCAGGCTGGAGGGCAGTGGGGCAATCTCGGCTCACTGCAACCTCCGCCTCCCAGGTTCAAGCGATTCTCCTGCCTCAACTTCCTGAGTAGCTGTGATTATAGGCACGCGCCACCACACCTGGCTAATTTTTGTGTTTTTAGTAGAGACAGGGTTTCACCATGTTGGTCAGGCTGGTCTCGAACTCCTGACCTCATGATCCCCTGCCTCAGCCTCCCAAAGTGCTGGGATTACAGGTATGAACCACCACGCCCAACCAGAGGCTGCATTTTATAGTACAGTGGATCTCATCCTGGCTTTACACTAAAATAATTAGAAAGCTTATTTTAAAGCACTATCCCTAGTATCTATTTTAATTGCTCTGAAGTGGGACCTGGGCATCAGAATTTTTAAGGCTCCTCCAGGTGAAGCTAATATGCAGACAGGGCTAAGAACCCAGAGGGAACCAGGTTGGAGGAATACATTCACCACAAAAGCTTTGAAGGTATTTAAGCCTTATCTATGCCCAGGTTTCCAGAGTCTAACATAATGCTCACTCAACTGGCAAATGTGTCCCTCTGTGGGCCCGAACCCCACCAGTCTATTGGGTCACTGTCTTGGTGGTGTTGACATCTTTAGAAGTTGGCATTTGATGTCTCTGGGGTTCCTGTAGTTACAGTTTACATTTATGTAATCGTTTTTAGATGTGATGAGAATTGTGCTGGATCTCTTCACCAAAACACCTCAAGAGAGTAATTCTATTTTCTCTTATCGAATTTTTCCAGCAGCCATGTAAAGTATGGTTTCCTAAGCCTCAGATGAGTAAAGTGCCAAGCCCAGTGGATGGCACACGTGCTCAGTAAATAGTACTTGCATATTCATTGGGCACCTAAGGTCACCATGCTTCAGAGAAGTTAGGTCACTCAAAGTCACAGGGTTGACATTTGACTATTGATGGGGCAAAAACTTCCACAGCCCCATAGCAGACACTGGAGTTAGCATGATACATGAGATGACTTTGCTTCTGAAAGAGAGATGTGTTTTCAAATTCATTTTTAGCAGGGCCCACATGGGTGGTAACAGCAGCATTAGTGATGCCCAAGTCCCATGTAATCAACCACATAAGGATATTGCTCTGAAAACAGAAGGAACATTGGCAATCAAAGCTTCTGCAGCCGAACCATGCAGTTAAGTGCCTGCTCCGTCTCTGCCAGCTGTTGGTAAGGCACTGTGAGTGAAATGAATTGCCCTCCCTAAGGCAGAGGCCATGATTTACACCTGGCAATCAACTGTATCAATGGCAGGCAGTTAGACAGCTGCAGCCCTTTGCAGCAGGCTGTGCTCACCCTGGATGGTCTTTGTGGTTCCAGCTATTGTGTTTCAGGCCCCATTTGTCTCTGCCAGCTCTGCTATTCTCTTTTTTAAAGCTAAGCCTTGGTTTCACAAAACAATTACTGAATTGAAGCACTTCAGTAAAGGAAAACGTCACCCCAGTCATTCATTGACAACTCAAAACCAGAAGAGCACTTCGAAGTTTGGAGAATGTTGGTTGGACATTCTCAACCACTTATGCACCATTATTATGATTTTTACAATATCCATGTACTTACTTTTTCTGCCCTGTTCATTTTTTTCAACTTAAATAAACTTACTTAAAAGAAATACATATAATTAATATAAATAACTTCAATACAGATAGCTCCCAACCAAAACTTTGAGCTCTGGGGAATTTTCCCTCTGATAAAAGGGAAAGTAAGCAAATATTAGAAAGGTGTTTCATATCTACTTAACCACTGCACTGAGCCTTTCTCCTTGACATAATCTGAAAGACAATTAAAAAGGGGATAACTTTTCTTCTGCGAATCCATTGCAATTTTAATACCTAGGTCCATACACCAAAAAAAATCATCCTAAGTAACAGCAAGAGTAACCAACATTTTCTGAGTTTTAACTACACACCAGGCCTGGTTTGGAGTTTCATGTATGTTCATTCATTTAGTCTCACAACAGCACTGTGAAAAAGCAATATTACTATCTCCCATTTACTGATAAAAATTAAGAAATTGAGAGTTCATTGTTCCATATGTCCTTTAAGCTCCAGTAGACTTAATGGCCCAAGGTGGGGTTCAGCCAAAATACAATTTAAATGACGCACCCAATATTTAAGAAACAAAACACCCACTTGCCTAACTATGGCTTTCCTTTTTTTTTTTTTTTTAAGTAGAGACAAGGGTCTCACTAACGCTCCTGTCCAGGCTGGTCTTGAATTCCTGGCCTCAGGCAGTCCACCCGCCTTGTCCTCCCAAAGTGCTGGGTTTACAGGTATGAGGCAACACGGCCAGCCAGCTTTCCCTTTACAACCAGCAATGCTGGTATCACATCAATTCAAGCAATCTCTATCGCAAAAATATATGCTCTGATGATTTGGGAAGCGAAAACAAAAAATCTTTATAGATATCAAGAAACCATGGTCTTTTAAAAGAGAAAGTGTGGTTATAGAGATATACAAATTTCTATCTATGAATGGAAACTATTGATTTTAAAGTATAAACATTATAATTATTGTTTTCCAAGTTGTTGCCGTTGGGGGAAACTGGATATAGGACACACAGGAACTCTGTATTATTTCTCACAACTGCATGGGAATCCATCATTATCTCAGGATAAAAAGTTTAGTTTCAAAGCATATGTGAACATTAAAATGTTCTGCAAAGTGTTCAACAAATGTTCAACCAACTCAAGTTAAATAGGTTAAAGAATCTTAGTAAAACTGTTTAACGAACTCATTTAAATCTCCTTAAATATTTGAAATACCTTTATAAATTCAATTTCTTTGATTTTTAAGTACTTCTAATGTTGACAGGGCAGGTTTAAATGCTAGCCAGCAAAACTTTAACACTTTCTATAAATCCAAGAAAGTAAATGTACAAATACAGAAAATTTTAATTTCTCTTAAACAGTTCAAACTCTTTAAAATGGAGACAAACACATCTTGACACTTGGAACTTCAAATCTGCATTTTAAATTGAAGCCATGCAGCCGATCTTTCAGTATCCTTAACACGCTGGCTTCTTAAACATTAAATACTGAGATTAGCCACATTTTAACCCCAAAATAATTAATACTCTGGGTGTTTGTTCTACTTCATTACCTCTATTCAAATCTCTTTGTTTTCTCAGGTTTCCAGCTAAAAAGGGGAGGGAGGGTGTAAGAGGTAAGAGGGTAAAACCTTGGAACCTTGGGACCCTTGCCTATTGCTTGCAGGTCTGAGACCAGGATCTAGCATCTGAGCACTGTTTGTTTCTGGGATACTGATACAGCCTGACTCCTAAAACTCTACATCAATAGCTTTTAACTGTGATCAGTGTTGCACGCTTAATAGTCCCATATTCTTCACATCCAGTGTTTTCACTGACGGATCTGGGGAGGTGGAACATATACCCTCACTCCACTCCCTTCATAGTTTCTTCACCAAACTTTGACCACATTCTGACAACAACGCACATTGAATACCCAACAGTGTTATTTTTATTTATTTGTTTATTTATGTATTTTTTGAGACACAGTCTCGCTTTGTCACCCAGGCTGGAGTGCAGTGGACGATCTCAGCTCACAGCAACCTCTCCACCTCCTGGGCGCAAGCTACTGTCCCGCCTCAGCCTCCCGAACAGCTGGGACTACAGGCATGTGCCATCACGCCCAGTTAATTTTTGTATTTTTAGTAGAGACAAGGTTTCACCATGTTGGCCAGGCTGGTCTCGAACTTCTGACCTCAAGTGATCCGCCCCCCTCAGCCTCCCAAAGTGCTGGGATTCCAGGCATGAGCCAAGGCACCGGGCCCCAACATTGTTACTTTTTTATTTCTAGCAATTCTCACATTAACACTCCTAAGTACTCTTGTTGCCATTTTGAAGATGAAAAAAAAAGGAGGTTTAGAGAAGTTAATTGACTCACCAATAGAATGAAAAGCTTGGAGTTTATTTAGAGACCTTTCCAAAATTCACATTATTCAATTCCATATTGGATTTTTTTTCTCTACCACTAAGTTTCATGTTTTTTTTGTTTGTTTGTTTTTTTGTTTTGTTTTGTTTTTTTCTCGTGTCTGAAATCTCCGTTCTTTATCAGCATTCTTTCTCTTACACTTGCCTTCCTGGGATCCCACTGCACCTGACAGCTTCATATTGAAAACTCTTTATGTTCCCTCAAAGTAAAAAACGAAAAGCTTTAAAACCAAGTTGATAATAGGTCTGACTGTGCTAATGAAACTTGACGTAGGAAATCAAACGTCAAGAGAAATGATGTTTTTTTTAATTTCTCCCAAAATGAGATGCAAGTTTATTCGTGTCCTTTCTATCACCACCTTTTATTTTGGCTCGTAACTTGGTCTTTTCCTTAGAAAATTATGAGAAAAATAACCTGGCTTTAGTTTTATGGAGGAGGGATAAATATCACACCGGACGATGGGCTGTTAATTTGGCAGTGAAAATGTAATCAAAGGTTTGTGAGGCTTAGAATGATTTTATCTTGGTCATGATGAACTGTGTTTTATGTAACACCATATTTCTTTTCTTGCAGTCAGATAAGCTTAAGGGACTTAAGTGAGGTAAGTAGCACTTTTATCCTTGGACGCAAAGAAGGGAATTTTGAGGCATTAAATGTCTGCAATAGGCAAGATTCTATTTGCTTCAGACACTTACAGTTAATTCTCACAGTAACTATGCTCAAAATGCATTAGTATCTCTATTTTAAAGATGAGAAAGCCAAAGTGAAATAAGCTTAGCTCCAGATTTTAAACCAAGATCCTGTTTGGCCACCATGGTCATTCAGGGTTCGTTGGTATAAGAAGAACATGCCCAGTTCCACATGGAAGATATGCAGTATTGACTGATGGCTTCCAGCCTCCAGTATTACAGAAATCAAGTGTTAGCAATGGTATTGCTCTTTGCTATTTGTCCTTCATAAGAAAGACAGGAATGCAAAGTAGAAGGAACATGAGATTCAGAGTTGCACAAGACCTGGGTAGGAATCCTGCTCTGCCACCTACTTGCTTTATGAACTTCAGAAAATGCTCCTACTCATCCCAGTTTCTGTTTCCTCAGCCATACAATAGGGATGGGGGCTGGGTGCAGTGGCTCACACCTGTAATCCCAGCACTTTGGGAGGCCGAGGTGGGCGAATCATCTGAGGTCAGGGGCTCAAGACCAGCCTGACCAACATGAAGAAACCCCATCTCTACTAAAAATACAAAATTAGCCAGTTGTGGTGGCGCATGCCTGTAATCCCAGCTACGCTACTCGGGAGGCTGAGGCAGGTGAATCGCTTAAACCTGGGAGGTGGAAGTTGCAGTGAGCCAAGATGGTGCCATTGTACTCCAACCTGGGCAACAAGAGTGAAACTCTGTCTCAAAACAAATAAATTAAACAAATAAAAATAAAATAGGGATGGGTACACTTCTGTGCAAAGTTGATGTGATAAAGTCAAAAGTAAGTAGTGCACAAATGGCCAGGTGACCATAGCGGCTCAATAAATGGCATAAAAGACATGTGAGATAAAGCTGTAATAGAGCCTTCCAAGGGTATTGATTCCCTTCAGTGCCCAAAGAGAAAGTTCCCTGCGAGGCTAGTGGGGCTACCATGACTGATGGAAAGACTGTCCAACAACACAAGTGGCCTCACCTCACTCCCACTGGACTCTAAGGAATTTTGTTCTTGTCTTTGTGTTTGACCTATGCTCTTATCTAGATCTTAGACGTGAATTTCTTTCCTTGCTTTATTTGTTGGTTTTGTGAGAATGTTAAAATCAAAAAGTCACATTTCCAGCTTGTCACTGAAACAAGACATTTATTACCCCTAATCTCCCTAATCCACAAGACAATAATGTCAAGAAAGATAACATACACAACCACTTGATGAGAAAAACAGTTCTGGTTCCACTGAGGACTTCACCAGGCTCATGCTCTTCTGGGAGGGGGTGCACTTCCTTAGTGTCACCTGGAAGGAGCAGGCTAGGGTGATGCTCGGCTGCTGGGGGAACCCACACATCCAAGGTGCCTGAATCCAGGACTCTGCCCCCTGCTTCCTGTAAGCTAGGCCTAGGTATCTCGAATAGTAGTTGGGTGCTGCTCACCATGACCTCAAATCATAACCCATTGGTCAGTCTGAGAGGACAGTAGGCCTCCCAATCACAAACAAGCAGAAAGGAATTGGGAGATGGGGGGGTCAGCCTTAGATGGCAGGAAATGTGCAGGACTGTTTGTTTTCTTTGCAACTTTAGTTGGCATTCTGCTAGAAGTTGATATCATCTAAAGAACAAGAAGGTCTAGTGGAAAAACACATTGTTGCTCCTTATCTTTTGCCAAGACACTTCCCCATTGTTTGTTTGGGCTGAGATTCAAGGCCATTTCTTCATAACAAAAGCCCATCAGGGCAAGCTGTGCTTGTGCCTGCGCTCAGTGCTTGCTTGAACACTGTCCTGTGGACCAGAATCTTTTATGTGCTAGCTGCCCCCACTCAAATTCACATGGCATTTTATAGTTTTCACGGAAAGACTCTTTGTCTCATTTTGTACTCACAAAGCCTTAAGAGAAAAACGAAACCCCAGAGAGGTGGCAAAGAGTCCTCACAGCCGGGAGGAGATAGGGCCAGTCCTGGAAATCCCAAAGTCTAGGTGTCTTCCCCACCGCCATGTCCCTCTGCCTTAAAACATACAGAAATAGCTCTGTACTAAAATAACTAAAAAGAATATGGAAGGAAGGAATGAAAGGAGGGGGCAGAGAAGGTGAAAGAAAAGGAGGAAGGAAATGGGAAAGAGGGAGGAGAAAGGAAAAGAAAAGAGGAAGAAGAAAGAGGGAGACAGGTAATAAAAGAGATACTACTATTTAACTCGACTATGTTTATTTTCTAACAATAAAAAAGTTACAGAAGAAAAATGAGTGATTTCATGCTACTTTTCTAACTACATTTGATCTGAAATTCAGAGCCCTCAAGCCAAAAGTTGGTTGGTCTCAATTAAATAAAACAACTGCTCCCCCAGATAGAGGGCTTCTCTGCACTCTTCGCATCTCTTCTTCCCCTCACCGTTGACAAGCCTGAGAGCTGCATAGGATTGAGCACTTTGAACAGCCAGGTTCAAAGTCCTGGGGGAGACTCAGTAGGGATACTTTCAAATCACTCACTAGAATGGATTCATTACTCTTTTTACTTAGCCTATAGAGTTTCTTTGATTTTCTGTCCATAATGAAATGTATGTTCTCTTTCCAGAATCCTAGGGAATGCCAAAGTCTTTGAAATAAAAAGTCTTCTCTGTTGGCCAGCTTCAGAGGGAGGCGTACAATGCCTCTCTAAGCAATTTGTTGCCAAAAGTTTCTTATCTGTGAAGCAACTATGAGTCAGGAGAGCTGGGCTCAGGGTTAGTTTAGCCTTCAGATGACTGCGGGAATCTAGGAGAATGGCATGATCCTTTGGGACCTCATCTGTAAACCAACTGTTTTTAACATTTAATGGACCTCACACCACTTTGAAAATTTGATGAAAGGTATAATAAACCTTTCTCACCCCAGAAAAAGAAAAAATATATACACATACTTAGAGAGAAAAAAATTTAGCTTTTCATTTCAGAAGGTTCATGGACCCCACTAGGCCATTCAATAATCTATTTCATCCCCCTGGTTAAAGCAGTTCTCATCTAAATGATACCTGAGGTCGTCTTCAACTGATGCAATATATACATGGACTTCCTAAAATTATTTTCAGTTAAATAAATACTGCAGCAAACACTGTACCTCCTGTAACACTTTTTGCTTCTTCAAGGATAGAGTAGAATAGGGCCCAAAGATACAAGCCCAATAAGCATGAAGATTTTCATAATGAAGAATGACCAAGAATTCTACCACCATAAGGAAGGAAAGAGAAAGAAAATGTTTGGGAAGATAAATGGCTACATTTAAAAAGGATAATGTGAATATTTCCATGCTTATTTTAAAAAATAGAAATTTCAGAGCAAGTATAAAGAAAAAATTAACCATAGCCTTATTGCTTAAGTACAACCTTTAATATTTTATCATATTACTTCAAATCATTTCTTCTGCATACACACAAATATACATGGGTATAAAAATATATTATGGGTCCATTTTTTATTCCAAACTTTAAATGTAACATGGATGCATACTTATAATCTTATTTCATTCTCTATATAAATACTTATAGTGTCTTTATAATATTCCAATAAGTGAGTATAGTACCAAAATTAACAATGTTCAGTTATCTGGGCACGTAGATTGTTTCCAGTGATTTAACTCTGTAAAAGGAAGGATGCAAAGAACATCTTTGTGCATAGAACTTGGCTCAGATTTCAGGTTGTGTCTTAGAAAAAGAGTCTCATCAATGGAATTATTGAGATAAGAATAAGAGTATTTCTAAGGTTTTAGATAATTATGGTAAATTACTTTCTAAAAGAGTCAAAGCAATGGATAGTCCCATCAGCAGACTGTGGACTTGTCTGTTCCTTCACACATCGATTACAAAATTTTGATTTTTGTTCAGTTTTCTGAGGAATTATTTGTAGATTTTAAAAAAAATACATGAACTATGCTAACAAAAATTTTACCAAAATTCTACCAACCAAATGCTCTGAAAACACACATGGTATTCTATTAAATTCTCTGTCATCAAAAGTCAGTAAATATTATTATTTTTTTAATTCAATACAGGTCCTTGAAGCAGAAAAAGGTGAATTGTTTACATTTGTTTATTTACCCTAATACTAATAATTGGTTCTCTTTCTAGATCTACAGTGCTTATGGGTATTGAAAGGGATTGATTGTTTGGAAGCCTGGGATAGGGATGTATGTGTGTGCATGATGACATGATCCTCATGCACACACATACATCCCAAGGGCCTCAGAGTCCTCTAGTCTAAACAAGGTGATTTAAATCCAGAATAGACCAGACATCTTTCTTTAGCCATACACTACTGACCAGAAGGCATTACACTGTCACCCTCTGCCACTTTGGAAAGACATAGCTAGTCCCCTGCTCCAAAGAAGCTCTTGGTATCTCTGCCTCTGATGTCACCCATGCACACACACGTGTGTCTCTTTCATGCACACGCACTTGTACACACATGCACATACCTCTACAGTGTTGGTGGTGTTGTGCAAGCATGCAATCCAACAGTCACTCATATCCTAAATGGCAGGATGCTAAGCAGGTAGCACTTTCATATTCACCTGGGAAACACTGTTCTCCATTCCTCTAGAATGATGAATTATGTCCAGAGCCAAAGGGCCTGCATCACAGTCCAAAGAGTTCGCAAAAGACATCATAGTTCAATAGAGCAATATTAGGTTAGGATTTCAGAGGCCTGCCACAAAATCACTGTATGGTTTTGGTCAAGTTGCATTTCCTCTGTGAGGCTCAGGTCTGCTCTTCTCTACACATTGACAAAGCTAAACTGGAAATGAGGCCTAAATTGGGTTTATGGATTCCCCATGAGTCCCTGATGGAGGAGTAGGAGTTGTTGGCAAGCCGAAATAATTCACAAACCTAGCTGAAACCATGCCCTTTCCCACAATACAGCTCAACATCCTAACTAAAATGTTCAGCTTTTGTTCCATCAGACAACACAACAACAAGTGTTAACACAACAACGTGGCATTGTTCAGCTCAAGAGGGGCAGATACTCTGGGTGGTTACTGATGACATGAAATGATTTTATGGGATGCATGATTCATGGACCAGCCGCTGACTCATGTTTCAAGTAATCACAGTCCTTCGATCAAAGGTGTCCAGTTTGTGATGAACCTTGGGCAGAATACAGAGCAACAAGCACAATTAAAACATGCCGGTGCCTGTATGCACCCTTCGCTTTATTACTTATGGTCACAGCTGGGAGAGTGTTTTATGAGATTTTATATCATAGTATTATGATGTGCCCTTGGCAATTCTGGATGGCTAGTTAAATCTGTCTGTTATGAAAAGAAAATAAAAAGCAGTAACATAAACTGCATATGTAATTACTAAATAACTCCAGATTGTATGGTTGGCAGAACTTTTAAAAACTTGATGATCGAGGGGGGAAGAAATTGAGAAACTGTATCCCTGCTTGGATCCAGGTAGAGACTGCTGGTCTACCTCAGAACCCTAGGAGCTCTCCTGCCCTATCACAGGAGGGCATGAGAATACAAGTGCCATGACGAGCTGGGCACCCCAATCTTCTCCATCAGCCAGAACAGTCCTTTCATTTAACTTTCTTCTTTTTAAGATCTCATCTCTCAGAAGGGTCTTTCTTAGCCATACGTATAGTCACTCTGTATCCCAAAGTAGTACTTCATTTCCTTTATATCATTGTATTGCCTAATAGAAACGTTCTTATTGACTTACTTGCATGCTTATTTCCATTTCCTTTCATTAGAATGTAAGAACCATGTCTGTCTTCTTCTCCACTGTATTCCCAGACTCTGGCAGAGTACTTGTCCCATAGTAGCTGTTCAGTAAATATTTGTCAGATGATATAAATGAATGAATGAATGAATGAGGATGAAGCTAAAAATCTTTTAAAATCACAGGTCCAGAATAATCCCTAAATACCTTCCAATATAATATTCTGTATTTCTGGGAGGTTCAATAATGTGTTCTAGCTTGTAAATATTCAAAGTGATTTTTACAACATATAAATATAAGTAATATAAAAGTCATTCTCAGGAGGCAGAAGAGTTGTAGAATATGTGAGTTACAGTTTCCACTGACCATCAAGAGCCCCCTTCTAACAATCAGAGATTACTTGGAGGAAATTATAGTAGTTCCAGTGGGCTTCTAATGGTTCTCAATTATTTTTCTTTTGCAATCTGACTAAATTATGTCACTGTTTTATATAGTCCCTCATAACCAGAGGAAGCCTGAATCAACTCATCTGTTACAAAACCAAAATTCTCAAGAGATTCCACTTGCCGTTAGCAGGTAAGGAGCCAGGAATCCCTTCTCAGGTCTGAGGCTGGGGGTCAGGCCATGTGCTGTCTCAGATAAATGATCACGAAGACTTTCTGAGAAACAAAAGTCTTTGTGTCTGAAGCCCAATAATGAGGTGCAAGAGAAACTTGTGAATTACGGCTGTTACTGATTTTGATAATGTTGTTCTTTCGGAAATTTATAAATGATTGAGTGTTAGAGAAGTTTGGGAAATTTTAAGCATTAACCAGATAGGATTAACTGGCAAGGATGCTAATCAACCTGGGAGGAAAAGTTGGTTGTTTCAAATTATTCTGGGCTGATGACCACACCAAAGCTTTAGTTACTTCTGAGCAGCAATTGATGGCCAGGTGACCAAGTGTTGTTGAAAATGCCCTCACCGGAATCATCGGATTAGATACTTGCCTGCCCCGCTTCTTGTGACAACTGTCAACCCAACTGAACAGTTGAAGACCCAAGGCTCAGCCAGGATATTTATTGACCAAAGTCACTAAATTAGTAGTGACTGCCCTAAAACAAAATCTAGGGCCTCCAGTATTAGGTGCTGTAAGGCCCTTATGATCTCACTCTCACCAGTGCCTCTGACCTCAGTTCAAGCCACTCTCCTCTCACTCTGGGGCACTGAGCCTCATCAGATGCCTGCCAGCAACCACAGTGCCACTTAATGCACGGCACTGGCACGCGCCCCTCTCCTGCCTGTAGTCCCTCCCCCCATATTTGCTCCTCTCCACCCTCTCCCTACTTGGAACACTCCTGTTCCTCCATGGAACCCCAGCTTAAAGCTTAATGAATCCAGGAGATAATTTGCATCAATTCTTCAGATGAAAAACATAAAGCTGAGAAAGACCGAGCCCTTTACCATGGAAGCCAAGCCCAACCTCAAAGTCCAAGCACTGTTCAGTAGCCAGTGCTGCCCATAAGGACTTGATTCTAAAAATGCAGCCTATAAATCCTGACTATCCCTGGTGCCTGCCCATGGCTAAAATGCTGCCTTTAATTGATTCCAAAAGTATTTGCTGGGAATGTACCATGTTTGTGGTGGAACAGAATAGTGGTTAAGCAGGATCCACTGAAGCCAGGTTGCCTGACTTTATCAGCAGTGAACCACGTGACCTGGGCGACCTCACTGTCTTACATGAGAAACCCAGGGCAGAGTCAGGCATGTTACAAGAGCCCAGTGAACACTCGCTCTCATTGCAATTGCCAGGCCCTGTATATCGGGGGCATGATCACCGTACCCTATTCCTTTCCCTCCTTTACTTTCTTCCCTGGTCCCATTTGGCACCTTCAGTAACTTTGTTTGGCCTGTGGGTACTAGGACATGTAGCTTCATTGTGCTTTGGGGACCGTCTGGTGTCTAAGCCCCAAACACCTTAAATACAAAACTCTTCCCCATACCACAATATCCTCTTCCTCTTCCTCCACCTCCTCATCTTCCTCCACCTCCTCCTCTTCCTCCTTCTCCTCCTCCTCCTCCTCCTTCTCCTCCTCATCCTCCTTCTCCTCCTTCTCCTTCTCCTCCTCATCCTCCTTCTCCTCGTCATCCTCCTTCTCCTCCTCCTCCTCTTCCTTCTCCTCCTCCTCCGTCTTGGGCCTTCCTCTCTCTCCTCCTTCTCCTCCTCTTCCTGTCTCTCCTTCCCTCCTACCTCCTTCTCCTGCCTCCTTCTCGCTCCTCTTGGCTTCTCCTCATCCTCACTTTTCCCTCCCCTACATCCTCCTTCTCCTCCCTTCTCCTCCTCTTCCTTCTCCTCCTCCTCCTCCTTCTCCTCCTCTTCCTTCTCCTCCTCCTCCTCCTCCTCTTTCTTCCTTTCTTTTTTCTTTTCTTTGTTTGTTTCTTTCTTTCTTCTTTCTTTTTCTTTGAGACAGGGTTTTATTCTGTCTTGTAGTGGCACAATCACATCTCAATGCAGCCTTGACCTCCTGGGCTGAAGTGATCCTCCCACATCATCCCCCAGAGTAGCTGGAACTATAGGTACATACCACCATGCCCAGCTAATTTTTGTACTTTTTGTAGAGAAGGGGTCTCACCATGTTGCCCAGGCTGGTCTCGAACTCCTGGGCTCAAGTGATTCACTCACCTTGGCCTCTAAAAGTGCTGGGATTACAGGCATGAGCCACCATGCCCAGCCCCCTTTCTTAATGTAATTTTCTAGAAGTAAAAAATACACACGTTACATTATAGTGAAAAAATAACAAGCTCTCCAGTTGGCCTCGTTTCTTTGTTATTTGATGTGGTTTCACTTCTTTTGTTTATTTATTTGTTTGTTTCATTTATTGAATAAAGAGTCTTGATGTTTCTTCCTCTCTTAACTGACTGCTGCTGCTTCTAATTCCTCGTCTTGGGCTTTCTCCCAAACTGACCTCTAAATGTTGGTATTCCTCAGAATTCATCCGAGGTCCTCTTTACTATCTCTGAGGCCTGCGTAATCACATCCATCTCCAGCATCAAACTTCAACTCCATGTTGATAATTCCCAAATCCCTATCTTCTGCAAACCACCTCTCTTAGCTCCAGACCTGTGTATCTAATGACCCATTGAGCAGTTTTCCTTAGCTAAGTCCCAGGCAGCACAAACTCATAATGGTGAAAATCAAACTCTTCATTTCTAGTCCCATTCTGAAACCCATAATATCGTCTGCAAAGCTTTTCATCCCAGTAAACTCAGTTAGCTCTCTTTCCCATCTTCACTCTTCCTCTATCCCATCCATTTTCAGCTCCCAAAATTATATCTCTAAAACATGTGTTGATTGTCTATGTCTCCCCCATTTGCCTAGCTCCTTGCATGGCCCAGTCCCTATCAACTTTTGCCTGGACAATTGCACTAGTCTTCCAATGACACTGATCATCTCCACACCCTCCCTTTCCTCTAGAAGGAACTGCTTTCTGGTCTCTTGCAGAAAAGGCCATGCCTCCTTGCCTCTGGGCCTTTGCACGTGCTGCTCTACCTGCCTGGAATACACTCTTACTCCTATTCGTGCTTCAGGGGTCAGCTTGGTTCATCTTTCTCCCTTTAAGCCTTTCCTGAGAATGAAAGCAATTTTGTCTCATTTACATGACCTTTTACTACTACAGAAACTTCTGCTGTGCACACCTTTACCATAACATTTATTCTGCATTATAATTATGGTACAAGGATATGTTTCTTTTATAAACTAACCTTCATTCAGGCAGAGGCCATGTCTTCGGTACTGTCTATTCCCCAGAACATACCATGTGCCTAGTAAGTATTCAGCACAAGTTTGTTAAACCAAACAGTCATCATTTTTATTTCCTTCCTTCCTTCCTTCCTTCCTTCCTTCCTTCCTTCCTTCCTTCCTTCCTTTCTTTCTTTCTTTCTTTTTCTTTCTCTCTCTCTCTCTCCCTCCCTCCCTCCCTCCCTCTCTCTCTCTCTCTCTCTCTCTCTCTTTCTTTCAGACAGGGTTTCACTCTCGTTGCCCAGGCTGGAGTGCAGTGGTATGATCTTGGCTCACCGCAACCTTCGCCTCCTGCGTTCAAGCGATTCTCCTGCCTCAGCCTCCCAAGTAGCTGGGACTACAGGCATGTGCCACCACACCCAGCTAATTTTTGTGTTTTTAGTAGAGACAGGGTTTCACCATGTTGCCAAGGTTGATCTTGAACTCCTGACCTCAGGTGATCTGCCTGCCTTGGCCTCCCAAAGTGCTGGGATTACAGGCTTAAGCCACCGCGCCAGGCCTTTTAATTTTCATTTTCATTATTTTGCTTTTATTTTTTTCTGCTTATATTCATATCAACTATGTACTTCTAGAATATCCACAGAGGACATTTCTATTCTTTTCAACATTTCCTAAAAATCCTAAACTATTAGAGCAGAGAAATTTTGCTATTCCCTATTTTTTCCCAGACATTTAACAGAATTGTACACTGGCTGCTAGTGAAAGGATTCTGGTTTTAACGGAGTCAGATTTTGAATTTCAGTAGCAGTCTGACTGGCAGTCACAGCGTAGTATGGTGACTGGATGAACTGCTCGTGTTTTTATCCACAAAGCAAAACACATGACCTCGGGCGTTTATGGTGACAACATAAACCAGATATATGCTCAGTTGATTTCATTGGCACTAGAAATGGATCAGGTTTCATTTAATTAACCCAGAGGCTTTAGTCAATAGCACAGTCCTTGGAATAGAGCATCTCTCATGTAATTAGATTTAACTGTGGTAGCACCTGGAGCTTATATTGATGATGCTGACCACAATACAAAATGCACCAGAAAATTAGAGCTAAGTATTAAGTAGAGTGCTAAGAAAAGCCACTGATGAACAGTCTTGATAATATCATTTTTGTAGTTAGAAATGCATATTGTTATTTTGTCTTATAGTTTTATAATCTCTTTTTCTTTGGCATTTTTCTTATCATAATCCACTAAGTTTTCTTACTCAGCACACAATTCTAGAAGGAATACAATACTTTCTATGTTCTTCTTCCACTCTATGGTTGACTTTCAATTGGTAAACAGTTTCTATAGATTTTGAGCCCCCACCAGCAAAATGTTGTATTCCCTAGTGACTGTAGCTACAAAGCAAGTTTGAACTCATGGCTTCAAAAAGTGAAGAATAATGATACACACTCACTGAAAAGACCTGAGGAGAACTTATATGGTCCGTTTGTTCCACGTGTAATATTGCCAGCTTGAGAAAGGAGGAGAACATGCCTCCTAGTGCCTTTCAAAACAAATGATTCTTCTAGCTTATCCAGTAAAATATAAACTGCTTTATAACTGTGACTTCAGGCTATTATCATTGACCTTGCCTCTGAGTGGGATTTTACCACCAAGGGGAAATACTAACATTCTTTGAATTCTAACATATTTTCTTATAGTTCTTCATTCACGATGAGCAACCACGGTGTGCAAAACAGAGGTAAGAGCACTTTCAGAATTATCAAATAAACAGGTAAGTCATGATACTGTGATATTGCTGCACTGTAACTTAGCTGTTGTGAACCCCAGAGCCACTGAGCTGATGTGTACAGATGTAATTAGCTCATTTCCATTGCATTACTATGACAATAATTTTAATCCATGATTAAATATGATCACTTAGGTGGTTTCTAGTTTTTCCTCTTATAAATATTATTATGCTATCAACATTAGTATAGATGTTGTCCCATGTATAAAATGTGATCATTTCACTTCATAAGAAATTGCCTTCATGAAATTGCTCTGTCTTAGGATATGCATCTCTTCAACTGCCCTAGATGTGTTTTCCAAGGTAGACATTGACTGGTCTCACCAACAGTGTGTGAGTCCCCATTGTTCCCCATTCTCTCCAACAGTTGTTTTTGACGAACTTAATTTTTCCCAATCCATTGGGTGCAAAACAAATTTGTCTCAAGAAAAATCTGCAAAATGAAGAAAATAGAACTGACGTCTCTTAGTAACTGTTTGTAAAGTAAAAATCAGAAGGATATCACATCTGTGGCAATGTCTGAAGCGGCAATATAAATACAGAGTTCCATGACTGTTAGTGGTGGGTGTTGATACTACTAATTATTTTGCACAAACTATTGCCATCATATTCATTTGTCTTTCCTTTTTTCACTCTATGTGCCATGAAGATTCTGTGTTTACATCTAGCACTGGAATCTCTCTTTGTTGAGCCAAAAAAAGAGAAGGGGGTTTAAGCCTGGAGGAAGCAAAGCCCACAGGGTATTGTGGAGAGGATGAGGTTCTCTACTGATCCTGCTCCTGATTCTGTCTCTCTTCTTATAGTAAGATCACTTTGAACAAATTAATTCTTTGAGCTTTACCTTTCCCCTTTCATAAAATTCAAGTAGTAATGTTAACTGATATACTCATATTAATATAGTATTTGCGCACACACACATACACACAGCCCTCTGCCTGCCACGTAGTAGGCAACTGATAATTTTAATGTCCTTTTTTCCTTTTCTGCATTCTCTTTCTTCTTCCCACCCAAATGACCTCAGTAGACCTGTGGGTTGTCTCACTGACTTCCATCATGCCTTCATATCACTGCTGCCATAAGCCATCTGGGCCTGAGGATGGAAAACCAAGCTGATAAATTCACTTCCCCTCATATACACATTGCTAATGGGTTTCCCAACAGAAGATTCCTTTATTTAAAAGGTGCCCAAAGAGGGCTAAAATAAACCCAATGGACTCAATCCCTAGTCATCAAATGTCAGGAATGGAAGTCCTAAAGGTCAGATCTGAGTGGATGAAGATGAAAAGACTTGGAGCATCCCGGAGGAAAGTCCAGAGGCCGACTGGACTCAGAAGGGGTGTTACTTATGGAGGTTTTGTTGCAGGGATGGGGAAGCAGAATCATAGCTTAGAGAGAAATCCAGAATCTTACCTTGAAATATAAAATCAAGCACAAATAAAGAGCAATTGAAGAATGGAATGGAGCAATGGAAATGGCCTTCACAGATATGAGTCTAGTCAAGCACCCCAGGGCTGTAAGTAGATCATCTGTACTAGGGTTGCTTAGGTTACTGTCAGCTAATCTCACCTCATCTCAGAGGAAACAAGGTTGCCGAAAGAAGCCTGAGATGGATGGCGAAATGTTTGAGCCTTCATTAGTTCCTGTTTCAGTAAACAAACATCCAACAAGAACATGGTTTGTACGAAAAATTGGGCTGAGCCCCAAGAATACAGAGTGGAGACCACCCCACCTTCTCTTAACCAGTGCTTAAGCACACCTGCGATGTTCCTCCATCAGCTACTGAACCGATACTCATTCTACTGGGTATGAATTCATGCCTGAATCACCAGTACTTGGCGATGTTAAGTAGGCAGAAAACAGCACGCAGTCTCTACACTCCTAGAATTATCAGTCTAATGAGTTCTCCAATGCATCAGGTATAGGCAGTGGAGTGAAATTGACACCTCCATAGTTGTACATGTTATTACACTTATTTTACAAATGAGAAAACAATTTTGGGGAAGTTCAGTTATTCTTGTTCAGTTACTGCCTGATAAACAGATTTGGCTCAATTCTTTGATAAATGCATTCAAGTTAAACTATTAGGAACCCAAGCAAGTGGATCTCAGGACAGAAAAAATATTTTGACATGTTGGAAGAGGCCCCAGTTTTGGTTATATTCCAAAGTAGTAACAACATTATTCTCTAAGTCTGGGATTGTAGATCATCTGTTTTCTTTTCCTTTTTTATTTTTGGTTTTTGTTCACTAATGCTTTCTCTTTGCTTTAAAATAGATGGCTATTTCTTTTCCTTTTGTTTTTTTCTTTGAGATGGAGCCTCATCGTGTCACCCAGGCTGGAGTGCAGTGGCGCAATCTTGGCTCACTGCAAGTTCCGCCTCCCGTGTTCACACCCTTCTCCTGCCTCAGCCTCCGGAATAGCTGGGACTACAGGCGCCCGCCACCACGTCCAGCTAATTTTTTGTACTTTTAGTAAAGACACGATTTCACCATGTTAGCCAGGATGGTCTCAATCTCCTGACCTCGTGATTCGCCTGCCTCAGCCTCCCAAAGTGCTTGGATTACAGGCGTGAGCCACCGCACCCAGCCTCTTTTTCTTATAAAATTATTTTTAAAATTGTGTATAAGGGTGAATTAAATTTTTCGAATAAATATTTATAGACTACCTGCTTAACATAAAATGCTTTATTATAAGTTACAACAGGGAGGTCTAGAACTGTGTTTCTCTAGTAATATTAGCAACACGCACAGCTAGTCTTGATGGGGTGGCTATATGATCAAACACTGTGCTAAGAGCTTAATCTATAATGCATAAGAATTTTAAATATTAGTAATTATTGATGTCAGTATGGTTTTTCAACCCATGCCTTTTCTATTAGGCTACTCTCCCTCAAATTTATTGTGCACCTCCACTGTGCTAGTCCCAATGTTCTTCCCCTTACCTTGTGGCTTCGTTTCTGTGACCCTCCATTCTCCATATTAGGAGAGTCCTATTTCATGGGGTTATAAAACTTAAATGTAATGTTTTATTTAAGAAAAAAGATTCCAAAGATTAACTGCTTCAATTATTTTAAAACAAAATCAATTAAATACTTATAGCGAGTTACAGAGTCAGAATTTCTTTCATTCATTCATTCAACAAAGATCCAACCAGGCTTTCAGGGAAAATTTACTTGGCAAACTTGTTCTTTTTGTTTCTTTGTTCTGTTTTGTTTTAAGTCATTCTCTGAACAAACTACAAATGCATAGCTGTTTCCAAATGCTCTTTTTCAAGTAGGACTTTTAAAATATCCAAGCAAGGCACTGAAGGTTAAAAAAGAATAAATCAGTTGCCACAATATCATGAAAAATTCATAATCACTGAACATTACTATGCATGCAACACCATCTAAGTGATAGGAAATACCGAAAATGGTTATTTTTTCCTCTTGAGTATGTTCCTATTTCTTCAATCCATGTTGAAAAGTTAGTTATGGCCATTTAAATAAGTCTCAAGTCAATTGTATTGTGTATTAGTACAGCTCTGTTGGCTTTCTCTTGGTTAGGATTTGCCTGGTATACAGGTCTCCATCCTTTTGCTCTCTGTGTCATTACATGTTAGAAGTGCAATTAGCAAATAGCTGGAATTTTTAAATCAATCTGCATCTGATTTTTAAAGGTAAGTTTGCACCTTTGATACTTATTGTGCTTACTGATATTTTGGGGTCTGTTTTTATATATGTTGTGCCTCCTATTTGTCCTGCTTTGTATTTAATTTTTTTGTCCTGCTGTATACTAGATTCATCTCCCCTTTATTTTCCTTTCTTTCTTTTTCTTGGAAGTTATACATTCCAGTATCAGTCTTCTTTTGGTTACCCTAAATATTTTTAACAATGGCATGCTAAAATTTTAGCAATCTGAAATTCATATTTTCTTTTCAAACAATACAAAAAACTTAGAATGCTTTATTTCCAAAAGTGCAGATTCTTCACTGTGTTTGAAAGTTAAATTTATTTATAAAATAACATTTTAAAACTAGGAATGGCTCTAGTTTTATTCTCTTTTTTTTTTTTTTTTTTTTTGAGACGGAGTCTCGCTCTGCCGCCCAGGCTGGAGTGCAGTGGCCGGATCTCAGCTCACTGCAAGCTCCGCCTCCCGGGTTCACGCCATTCTCCTGCCTCAGCCTCCCGAGTAGCTGGGACTACGGGCGCCTGCCACCGCGCCTGGCTAGTTTTTTGTATTTTTTAGTAGAGACGGGGTTTCACCATGTTAGCCAGGATGGTCTCGATCTCCTGACCTCGTGATCCGCCCGTCTCGGCCTCCCAAAGTGCTGGGATTACAGACTTGAGCCACCGCGCCCGGCCCTCATTTTTTAAAATATAAATTGATGGCTGAAATTAACCACAATCAAGGTAATTTAAACTTTAACTGATCAGTTTTCTGCAACAAATATTTTGATACAAATAAGCCCTCATAACAAACATCCTTAAGCTCAACATTAAAAGCAACAATCCTGGCCAGGCGTGGTGGCTCACGCCTATAATCCCAGCACTTTGGGAGGCCATGGTGGGCAGATCCCCTGAGGTCAGAAGTTCAAAACCAGCCTGGCCAATGTTGCAAAACCCTGACTCTACTAAAAATACAAAAATTAGCTGGGTGTGGTGGCAGATGTCTGTAATTCCAGCTACTCGGGAGGCTGAGACAGGAGAATTGCTTGAACTGGGGAGGTAGACGTTGTAGTGAGCCAAGATTGTGCCATTGCATTCCAGCCTGGGCAACAAGAGCAAAACTCCGTCTCAGAAAAAAAAAAAAAAAAAAAAAAAAAAGCTACAATCCTTGGTTCTCCTTAGAATAAAATTGTCAATGCATCAGAAGTAGTGTTCTTCTTAGTAAACTTAGAGATAAATTTGGCTTTTTGATTACAAGAAGCAGAATTAGCGCCTATATAATCTAAATATTATGGAAAATGGCATTTATTTGCTAATGTTTAATATTTCATCTCAGAAATTTACTGGATCAAAAGCAACCCATCCTTTCAAAGTTCTTATTAAGTTACTAAGCATAACTGTAACTTTGGTTATGTTTTTAAAAATGAATTACAACTAAAAAACTTATAATTCTATATTCACACTGATTACCTCTTTTCCATTTCATGTTATTTTTGCCTAGTATTTTACTTACATAATGTTTATCTGTCCTAAAGGTTTTATGTTTTTAAAATAGTTACTCTTTGCTTAAAATTACCAATAAATTTACAGCTGTCTTGCTTGGTATTCCTCCTTATACTTCACTCCATATTTGTGGTCTAAATTTCAAAATATATATATATTTTATTGTTATTAACTGGAAAGACATGCAATGAAAATGTTATTTTGATTGAGGTATGTAGAGAAAATAGCACATTAACATTTGACAAGTGGTAGTGTCTTAAAGTTTAGGTGTCATGTGAAATCAAACCCCTATCGATGAACTTTTTATATTCTGCTACTTTAAAATCCCTTGGTCTGTCTTGTACTTGAATTTATCTTTTATCCAGGCAGGATTGTGCAACATCATGCATTGATGACTTGGAAAATAATGGATAATAGACATAAACAGGACTGCCACTGTTGATACATGTTATTATGTAATATATTTTTTAAATCACATTTGCACCACCCACCACATTAGAAAAGTGTAAATGTTGGGTTTCTGTTATGTTACAGTGGCAGATGCAAGATTCCTCAAACTCCAGTTTGCACTTGCAAAGTCCAATCTTATGATCAGGAACAGACACTGCCCCTTGTTTTCCGTGAAGTGACAGGCTCACTTTGTTCATTTTTAGTAACATATCTGTCAGATATCGAGGTCGGAATAACAATAGCTTGTCAGTCATTCTTTTGGGTTAAAAAGTATGATATTTCATTTTTTAAAGTTATTCTTTCAAGTTGAAAAAAATAGTGTTTCCAAAATAGGGAATGAACTTGTCCTATTTAAAAAAATGAACAGAGTTCATTACACACAGAACAGAGTAGACAATTGGGGGAGAAGTGAGGATGTGGATAGAGAAATATGAATAGACAGTCCATTTAGAGCCTTATGGACAGAAGGAAAACACTTACATTTTCCTCTAGGCAGAAAGGAAATCATATCAGAAATTTTACCAAGGGGAGTGGCAGAGTCAGAATTCCAATTTTTTTTTTTTTTTTGAGATGGACTCTTGCTCTGTCACCCAGGCTGGAGTGCAGTAGCATGATCTCGGCTCACTGCAACCTCCGCCTCCCTGGTTCAAGCGGGTCTCCTGCCTCAGCCTCCCTAGTAGCTGGGATTACAGGAGTGTGCCACCACGCCCGGATAATTTTTATATTTTTAGTAGAGACGGGGTTTCACTGTGTTAGCCAGGATGGTCTCCATATCTTGACCTCGTGACCCACCCACCTCGGCCTCCAAAGTGCTGGGATTACAGGTGTGAGCCACCACGCCTGGCTCAGAATTACATTATTAAAAGATGACTCTGGGAGTCCTAAGGAAAGAGAGGAGGAAGTGCAAAGCTACAGGCAGAGAACAAAACAGAGAGAATTAAGGTCACTGGGTGAGCTGATGTGGTGTTGACCAAGAAGGTCCTCACAGATATAGGAAGGAGCGAAGGGTTTCAGTTCCTTTTAGGAGGTGGGGGACAGCCTGCACCAGTCACAAAATCACACTGAAATGTGAATTTAACCTTTCCAGATCACAGAGGAGCTTTGCAGCCCTGTTCTCCTCAGAGATGCCAGCCGCCAGCCAGCTGCAGCCCTCACGAAAATATACCACCCTATAAATACACAAGCTGGAGACCACCTTTCCCCAAAAGGTCTGATAGAAAGGTAAGCAGACAGTTCTCTGCCAAGTCCTTCTAGATGTACTTGGCATCTAAATAGAGCTTTCCTGAACAATGCCCAAAATGAGATTATTTATGTTTGACTTTAACTTTTTCCCTTCTGGCTACATATTACTGGGTTTTAATATTTTTAAAGTATTTTAGTATTTTTAAATATGTTGCTATATAACATATTATGTTGGTCTCTCACCAGATTCTTTGACTGGCATGTTTCCAGATTCTAAAGTGTTTTTAAAAAATTAATCCAAAAATATAGATATTTAGACATGTGTTTTATATTTACCGGCTGTCCAATAATCTTGTGGGGGGTTAACTAGGATATACAGGTTGCAATTTTTTTCCAGCAAAAGATTCATGTATTACACACTCATTTCAGTTAACAGTCCAGTGACCATTAGTTGAGCAGTTATTGTGCCAGATAATGTGCTAGAGGTTATGGTCCCCACCCTAATGGAGATGTAAAGAGTGGGGAGATGCAAATGGATGCTAACTGTGTTCTTGTGTGTCCATCATCTATTTTGTGGTCTCTTTCTAAAACATGCTCATTCCCTACAATTGATTATTTTTGCACCGTTTTTCACTTACATTACCCTATGGTGGGGGGATAAAGCTTTCACTGTATCTTGTATGCTTTCTCTCCATCACATTAGATGTTATTTATTAAAGTCTTTCACTGTAAAACTCCAGAGGATGTGCCTCTTCCAGGTCTCCATCCCACACCCTGCTATTACTCACTGTCCTGCTACAGAGCTTGTGAAGATTTCTAAGCAGAAGCAGAATGAATAGGATATCTCTGGTGAATTCTTACAATATCCTAAAGCTCTTTTGTTATCCTTATATTCATATTAATTTCTACCAATTCTAAAAGGGTCTCATAATCTGAAATTAGACTTTGGAAAATATTTTCACATCCTGGCCAGGCATGGTGGCTCACGCCTGTAATCTCAGCACTTTGGGAGGCCAAGGTGGGTAGATCACCTGAGGTCCGGAGTTTGAGACCAGCCTGACCAACATGGAGAAACTCTATCTCTACCAAAAATACAAAAATTAGCCAAGTGCAGTGGCATATGCCTGTAATCCCAGCTACTTGGGAGGCTGAGGCAGGAGAATCACTTGAACCTGGGAGGCAGAGGTTGCAGTGAGCTGAGATCGCACCACTGCATTCCAGCCTGGGCAACAGAGCTAGACGTTGCCACAAAAAAACAAAAAACAAAAAAAAAACCACACGTCCTGCTTTTATTGTCCCTTGTCATGCACTCGCCTTCCTTTTGCTCTTTCATCTTCTTCATAAACATGGGGATCCCTTGGTTCTAACTAGAGCTAACTAGAGGTCTACACAAGGTCACGCTCCCTCCCAGATCCCGAATTCCTCATAGGCATGAGACAGGGTTGGACCACATCAGGATTTCCCCGATTTCAGGTATTTGAATGTGCCTTTATGATTTGTGGCATATCTATGTCCTGTCAATAATAACATTTACTTAATAATACTCTTTAAGGTGACCTGTTTTCACTTGATATCACTATCCTGGTTAATTTTTTTTTTAAACCAGTGTTATATATCATAGAAAGTGACTTTAGAAGTAACTCCATTCAGGCCAGGTGCGGTGGCTGACACCTGTAATCCCAGCACTTTGGGAGGCCGAGGTGTGCAGATCACAAGGTCAGGAGATCGAGACCATCCTGGCCAACAGGGTGAAACCCCATCTCTACCAAAAATACAAAAATTAGCTGGGCATGGTTACACGGGCCTGTAGTCCCAGCTACTCGGGAGACTGAGGCAGGAGAATTGCTTGAACCAGGGAGTTGGAGGTTGCAGTGAGCCAAGATCGTGCCATTGCACTCCAGCCTGGCAACAGAGTGAGACTCCGTCTCAAAAAAAAAAAAAAAAAGAAGTAATTTCATTCCTTAGCGTATGCCCCAAAGAATTGAAAGCAAAGACTCAGATATTTGTACAGCCACGTTCATAAAATTATTTGTAATAGACAAAAGATGGAAACAACTTCTATGTCCATTGACAGATGAATGGATAAACGAAATGGTACACACACGCACACAATGAAACAGGAATAAAGGAATAAAAGGAATAAAAAAGGAATAAAATTCTAACATGTGATACAATATACAAGAACCTTGAAAACATTATGCTGAGTGAAATAAGTCAGACACGGAGGACAAATATATGACTCCACGTATACAAGGTGCCTAGAACAGGCAAATTCGTAGAGACAGAGGGTAGGATGGTGGTAACTGAGCCCTGAGGAAGGAGGTGGAGGTAATGGAGAGTTATTCTTTAATGGATACAGAGTTTCAGTTTGGAGTCATTAGAAACTTTTGGAGATGGATAGTGGAAATGGCTGTAAAGCAATGTGAATGTACTTATTGCCACGGAATTGGTTAAAATGGTAAATCTTATTATATTGTTGCCGAAAAGAGTCAAATTCTGGAAAATATTTGAAGAGATTTATTCTGAGCCAAATATGAGTGACCATGGCCCATGACACAGCCCTCAGGAGGTCTTGAGAACGTGTGCCCGACAGGGTACAGCTTGGTTTTATACTTTTTAGGGAGATAGGAGACTCCAATCAAATACACCTTTTTTCTTTATTTTTTTCTTTTCTTTTCTTTTTTTTTTTTTTTTTTTGAGACAGAGTTTCACTCTTTTTGCCCAGGTTGGAGTGCTATGGTGTGATCTCGGTTCACTGCAACCACTGCTTCCCAGGTTTAAGTGATTCTCCTGCCTCCCAAGTAGCTGGGATTACAGGTGTGCGCCACCACACCTGGCTAATTTTGTATTTTTAGTAGAGACAGGGTTTCACCATGTTGGCCAGGCTGGTCTCCAACTCCTGACCTCAGGTGATCCACCTGCCTCAGCCTCCCAAAGTGTTGGGATTACATTTAATAAATACATTGTTTCAGTCCAGAAAGGTGGGACAGCTTGAAGTGGGGCCTTCCAGGTTACAGGTAAATTTCAAATTTTTCTGGTTAACAATAGGTTGAGTTTATCTAAAGACCTGGGATCAACAGAAAGGGAATATCACTGATAGATAGAGGTCTTTTTATCGGTTAAGATAAGGGATTTTGGACCAAAGTTCTTATTGTACAGATGAAGCCTTCAGGTAGCAGGCTTCAGAGAGAATAGAGTGTAAATGCTTCCTCTCAGACTTAAAGTCTGTGTTGATGTTAACGACAGAGAGGTATAATGAGGCATATCTGACCCCTACTTCCCATCATGACCCAAACCAGTCTTTCGGGTTAAATTTTAACAGTGCCCTGGCAGAGGAGGAAGTCCATTCAGATGGACTTAGGAGGCCTTAGAATTATATTTTTGGTTTACAATATTTTCCCTAATTAAAAAAAAAATTCATTGCAATATAAACAAAACAAGCTATTAAACTGTAGCAGGATCCCATCACCTGCTAATGACTCTCAGCATAAGGACTGCTCCTCTTCTGTTAAAGAAGAGATTAGAAATGTCAGACAGATATTAAAGACGCATTAGGCCAAAATGAAACATTCCTTTTGAATTATTCAGGGGAACTAGAAAGAGAATTAGAAGGGGACTCCCTTCCCCACAAGTGATTCTGAGATATGTAATTCAGTTTCTGAGCACCAGTTACATTCACCAGCCATCCCGCATGACCACACCTGGAGAATCATAGGACTCATCTCTAAACGTCTTCCAACTTGGACAAATAAATAAAAACAGAGTAGATGAAATGCACCATGACTGAGCTCTGCCAAGTCCATGGACTGGCCAAGAGGCCCCCTGGAAGCAGTAGACCACTTCAAGCTCAGACAGTTCACGTTGCAGTGGGGAGATGGGGCTCCACGGCTTCCCTTTGTCTCTAGAGTCCGTCACATGGCTTTGCTGGAGTGAGGCAGAGCTGGTCCTGCCATGGACCTTTTCAGCAAGGGGGTAGGGACTAGGTCAAATAAGAGGTGACTTTTGGGCCAGGCGCGGTGGTTCACACCTGTAACCTCAGCACTATGGGAGGCCAAGGCATGTGGATCACCTGAGGTCAGGAGTTTGAGACCAGCCTGACCAACATGGTGAAGCCCAGTCTCCACTAAAAATACAAAAATTAGTCGGGCATGGTGGCACATGCCTGTAATCCAGCTACTTGGGAGGCTGAAGCAGGATAATTGCTTGAACCCAGGAGGCAGAGGTTGCAGTGAGCTGAGATTGTGCCACTGAACTCCAGCTTGGGCAACAAGAGTGAAACTCTGTCTCTCAAAAAGAAAAAAAAAAAAAGAGGTGACTTTTAGTCTCAATCTTGATGCAAAAGAATGGCTGAGCTGGGTAGGCAGAGGTGAAGACCAGGAGGGATTCCAGGCAGTAGGGCCAGTTCTGTTCTATTCCTGAAGCTGTGTGTGTCCAGAGTACAAGCACTTTTGTCTGGCCAGACCCATGTCTGAAATGGGGTGGCAGGAAGTGAGACTGCAGGGTTGAGTTAGAGCTAACTCATACCGTTCCAGATGGTGTTCACATCAGTGTGTTCTCACGTGAACAGAATCAGAATCTCAGTATTGAATGTATCAGGTTTATTTTTCAGTGGACCAGAGACTCCAAATGAATGAGATACCAAAGACCTGATGTCACGTACCTAACTCTTGCCAACCATGTGACAGGTTTTGACAACATTTTTTTTTTTTGAGACGGTGTCTCGCTCTTGTCACGAGGCTGGAGTGCAGTGGTGCAATCTCGACTCACTGTAACTGCCACCTCCCAGGTTCAAGCGATTCTCCTGCCTCGGCCTCCTGAGTAGCTGGGATTATAGGCACGTGCCACCATACCCGGCTAATTTTTGTATTTTTAGTAGAGATGAGGTTTCACTGTGTTGGCCAGGCTGGTCTCGATCTCCTGACCTCTTGATCTGGCCACTTCTGCCTCCCAACGTGCTGGGATTACAGGCATGAGCTACCACGCCCAGCTCAGGTTTTGACTTTCTGAACCTTCACTGTCCATCTTCACTAGGGTTAATACTACCTGACATGCCTACTTCAAAGATGTGTTGTAGGGATGGACTGATATGCTACTAAATGAGGAAGGACCTTATAGATGCTGGACTCACAAGGAGGGTTATTGAATATTACGATCCTCGGAACCCTGTGAAGGAATTGCAAGTCCATGATGCATCTCCCTGACTGCCCTTCCTTCTCCCAGTTAGTCTGGATTTTATCATCAAAAGAATTTAAAATCATTTAACATTGATAAAAATAAAGCAGTGCGGCCCAGGGAGAAAGCTAGATAAACTAGGATCCTAATCATAGCTCAGCCGCCTGTGCCTCTAGAGAAGTGGCAGAGATGGACTCTTTCTCCCTCCCTGCTATTTGTATGTTACTAGGGCAGTGTAGGCTTCACAAACAACACATATTTCCACCTCAACAAGCCTCAGCAGCTGAAGATTCAGAAAGCACTGATAGATAGCGGGCTTATCATCTGTTCTGAGGGTGGTGCTGAAGGACCTTTCTCAACAGATTCCCGTTGACTTCAGAATTCCCCAGATGCAGTAACTTTTTCTGTGTCTCCCTGCCCCAAGTATCTGTGGGCTTCTCCAAGTTCAGGGACTAAATGTTAGGCACTGAATATCTACTATAGATTAAACTGTGATTAGGCACTGGTGGAACAAAAGTAAATTTTGAATTCATTAATCAATAATTCATACTTTCCTTTGACCCTAAAATATTTGTAATTGATTCTGTTCTGCAGGATGTCCAGCACAATGAATGGTACATTGGAGAGTACAGCCGCCAGGCAGTTGAAGAGGCATTCATGAAGGAGAACAAGGTAATGCCTTTCACATGGTCCACCGTCATTGTTTCCATAGGCATCTTAAGGTTCTCTGCTCATGTGTCACAAGATGTAACAAGCAACTTGCTTTCATGTATTATTTCCTGCATCACCCTGCATTTCTCAACGCTGGGAGGCTGTAGTTGAAAAAGGCATTTAACATGGAGAGTTTCAGGCCAGGTGCAGTGGCTCGCCCCTGTAATCCTAGTACCTTGGGAGGCCGAGGTAGGTGGCTCACTTGAGGTGAGGAGTTTGAGACCAGCCTGAACAACATGATGAAACCCTGTTTCGACTAAAAATACAAAAACAAAAAACAAAAAACAAAAAAACAAAGAAATTAGCCAGGTGTGGTGGCACGTTCCTGTAATCCAAGCTACTCAGGAGGCCGAGACACGAGAATCACTTGAACCTGTGAGGTGGAGGTTTCAGTGAGCCGAGATTGTGCCACTGCACTCCAGCCTGGGCAACAGAGTGAGATGCTGTCTCAAAAATAAATGAAATAAAATAAAATAATAAAAACAAAAAACAAGAAAACATGAAGAGGACTGGGCGCAGTGGTTCATGCCTATAATCCCAGCACTTTGGGAGGCCGAGGTGGGTGGATCATCTGAGGTCAAGAGTTTGAGACCAGCTTGGTCAATATGGCGAAACCCTGCCTCTACTAAAAATACAAAAATTAGCCAGGCGTGGTGGCAGGCACCTGTAATCCCAGCTACCCAGGAGGCAGAGACACGAGAATCGCTTGAACCTGGGAGGTGAAGGTTGCAGTGAGCTAAGATTGTGCCACTGCACTGCAGCCTGGGCAATGGAGTGGATGCTGTCTCAAAAATTAATTAATTAATTAACTAAATTAAATAAAAATATAAAAACAAAAAAAAACATGAAGAGGACCGGACGTGGCAGTTCATGCCTGTAATCCCAGCACTTTGGAGGCCGAGGCGGGTGGATCACCTGAGGTCAGGAGTTCAAGACCAGCCTGGCCAATGTGGTGAAACCCCGTCTCTACTAAAAATACAAAAATTAGTCAGGCGTGGTGGTGGGTGCCTGTATTCCCAGCTACTCATGAGGCTGAGACAGGAGAATCGCTTGAAGCCGGCAGGCAGAGGTTGCCATGAGCCGAGATCGTGCCACTGTACTCCAGCCTGGGCCACAGAGCAAGACTTTGTCTCAAAAACAAAAAACATGGAGAGTTTCAGGCCTGAGGCTTGGTTGTGCTAATTATCAGCTGTGTGGCTTTCTCAAGTTTCTAAATAACTTCCCATGTAGCTTTATTCATTTGTAAAATGAAACATAGTAAAATCAACCCTAAGGAACTATTTTGAAGATGAAATATGGATACTGGACTATAGAGGTCACAATAGAAGGGGCTTCCTTCTGCTTTCGTCAAGGTTTATCTCCTTAATCAATGTTTGCCCAAGGTACTGTAGGGTGTTTATGTCTCACTTCTTTGAGAAAGGAGCAGGGATTGTGAAGGCTGCAAAAGTCAGGATATGGTAGGTTACGCTGCAGTAACAACCCCAAGATCTCAGTTGCTTAACATAATGAAACTTTACTTTTGCTTGCAAACCATGTTCAGGATGGGTTTGGGTGGATAAACCCAGGCTGCTGGGGCTCCATCTCAATGGTGTGCTTCTACCCTCACACTCTGACTCGTAATACATCCTCTCAGAAGTAACATAGTTTACTTCCGCTTACACATTTTTGACCAAAGGAAGTCACGTGACCAAACTTAACTTCGAAGACGGTGAGGAAGTACAAACCTACATGTGACTGAAAGGAGAAAAGAACTGGAATACTTGTCATCAGGTCAAATGACTACCACAACCATCATCCCAAAGAGCAAATGATTATCAAGCAATGACTATGTGCAGAGAACTATGAGATTGCTTAGAAGTTATAGAAAGTGTCTCAAGACTGATGCAACATCAAAACCTATCCCCAGCTAATCAGTACAATGGGCATTGTTGAAAGAGGTAACCCAAACATGAATGAATTAGTTAATTAGTGAATAAATGAAAGGTCTACATTTTCATAAAACCTAGCTCTCAGAATTGATGTTGTAAAATTAAATAAATGATATGTATAAGTTGCTATGGTAAAGAGAATCATGCCCACTCCAAAGATGTTCACATCCTAATCCCCAGAACCTATGAATATGTCACCTTCATAGAAAAGGGGACTTTGCAGATGTGAAGGTAAGGATGTTGAGAAGGGGAAGTAACTATGCATTATCTGGGTGGGTTCAATATAATCACAAAGGTCCTTGTAAGAGGGAACCAGGAGTTTCAGAGTCAGAGAAGGGACGTGATAATGAAAGTAGAGGTCAGATGAATGGGAGAGCCACAAGCCAGGGATCTTGTTGGCCTCCAGAAACTGGAAAAGTCATGGAAACAAAGTCTCTCCTATTGATTTTAACCCAGCAAGACTCATGTTAGACTTCTGACCTCCAGAACTGTAAGAGAATACATTTCTGTTTTACATCACTAATTTCATGGTAATGTGTTATAGCAGCAATAGGAAATGATACCATTGCTTACAAAGTATCTTGAACACACACGGAATAAATGGAATATCCCATTTCCTAGATGAGGAAACTGAGGCTAAGCCAATATGTTGGTCATAAAGTAGAGAAACTGACAGAACATGCATTCAAGATCAGTGCTCTTTTCACAAAATCCTAGCTGACTCTAGTAGCCCTCAAAGTTCTTTTCACAGCCCGGGTGGAGAGCCCTGGGTGGTTGGCTGATGCAGCTTCTTGAGGACCCTCCTTTTCTCCTTCCAGGGAATCTGGCCATGCCTTGGTAGAGTGGCGAACCTGGTGATGGTAGATTCCAATGCTGGCTGTCGTTCTTGGCTAATCTGTGCCCAGGGCACATTGCACTCACAGAGCCTGTTTTCCATCAGAAGAACTAGTCTTAGCAGACCTCCTTCCAGGAGCCCGTGTGTGGATTGTGCTGGAAAAGCAATATGCATGTGACCTGATGCTCTTCCGGCAGCATTTGGACGCTCAGCAAATGCTCCCTTCCTCTCTGTGTGCCTGCTTCTGCCTCTTCCCAAGAAACTTATACCATAGCAACTTATACGTATAACTTATTTTAATTTTAAGAAAATAAAATCTCAGTTAAATGACTTCATATGTTTCCTTTCATATTCTACTTTTCTGTTTGTCTCAGTTCTGTCAAAATGTGTTTCCCATTTATGAAAGATAATTTATTTTAAATTTCAGAATTACTCAGATTTATTTTGACAAATCATTTCAGAGTTTAAGAGGATAAACCCAAAAATTGGCCGTGAGTTTTGGCCTCTTCTCTCCTTCTGATCTTTGGCAGTGCTCTGGGCTTGAACATTAAGGCTTCAATTATGACTAAACATTTTAGGCAGAATAAGTTCCAGAAAATTCTGCCATCCTATTTTATACAGTCAGAGGCTTGTGTATTTAAAGGGTGAGGATTTGGTTTGCCTTTTCAGTATTCCATTTAGTAACTGTGATGCTTTAGGGGATTCACTTAAGCCTTTAGACCTTTATTCCTTTACTTGTAAAATAAGAATAAAATTTTTCCATCAATGTTTATGTAAAGAACCCAACGTTTATGTAAAGAACCTGTAAATAGGCTGGGTGCAGTGGCTTATGCCTGTAATCCCAGCACTTTGGGAAGCTGAGGCGGGTAGATCACAAGGTCAGGAGATCGAGACCATCCTGGCTAACACGGTGAAACCCCGTGTGTGGTGGCAGGCACCTGTAGTCCCAGCTACTCGGGAGGCTGAGGCAGGAGAATGGCGTGTACCTGGGAGGCGGAGCTTGCTGTGAGCCGAGATCGCGCCACTGCACTCCAGCCTGGATGACAAAGCAAGACTCCATCTCCAAAAAAAAAAAAAAAAAAAGAACCTGTAAATGAGCCAGGCACAGTGGCTCACACCTATAATCCCAGCACTTTGGGAGGCTGAGGTGGGCAGATCACGAGGTCAGGAGTTTGAGACTAGCCTGGCCAACATGGTGAAACCCCGTCTTTACAAAAAAGACAAAAATTAGCCAGGCGTGGTGGTGGGTGCCTATTATCCCAGCTACTCAGGAGGCTGAGGCAGGAGAATCACTTGAACCCTGGAGGCGGGGGTTGCAGTGAGCTGAGATCACGCCACTGCACTCCAGCCTAGGCAACAGAGTGAGACTCCATCACACACAAAAAAGAAAAAAATCCTCTAAATGAAACAATGTGTGCAAAGGGCTTGGCAATTCTCAATGCACCTTAGCTACCAGTATCATCATAACATTACTATCATGTTACAATATTATTTATAAATTTTGTATACTTAAAAGTATTGCTATGTTGTATTATATAGTATTACCATTATTATATATCTATAAGTATTCATTATAGAAATATATAATTATATATAGCTATTATAAAATATAGAGAATTATATATCATAATTTATTATTATAGCTATAAATCACTATATATATTATCTATATTTATCATGCTTTTTTTTTTGAGACAGGGTCTCACTCTGTCACCCAGGATGGAATGCAGTGGTGAGATCTCGGCTCACTGCAACCTCCACCTCCTGGGTTCAAGCAATTCTCCTGCCTCAGCCTCTGGAGTAGCTGGGATAACAGGCACATGCTACTATGCCTGGCTGATTTTTGTATTTTTAGTAGAGATGAGGTTTCCCCATGTTGGCCAGGCTGGTCTCAAACTCCTGACCTCAAGTGATCCACCTGCCTGGGCCTCCCAAGTGTTGGGAATACAGGTGTCAGGCACCGCACCCGGTCTCTATTCTTCATAGATCACTTATAACCATCTATACAATACACACAATTACACTTACAGATTTTTCATTTTCATTATATAAATAACACAATGTAACTACAAAACTAAGCCTGGTAGATATGTTCATGTTCAGGAGGACTGCTCCATTTCTCAGTCTTTTACAACCAGATCTTAGTATCATTCTGAATCATTCCCTGGAGTGTACAAATTATTTCTAATCATTGTCCTGTTCTCAGCTTTTGGACCATTTGACGCTGTTGACCTGCTTTTGGAAACCCTCAGTCTCTACCTCTTGGCTTCTGTCACTCTGAATCTCCTGGTCTTCCGTCATCTTTCAGACATCTCCAGGCCTTTTGTGTCTTCTCTTCCTTGCCCTGTACTTGCCCTCACCTCAACATAGGCTACAATTCTTCCTCCCATAAAGGGCCTCTCCATTCAGTTTGATATCCATGACTTAGAGGCCCCATGTCTCTTTCAGGAACCCTAATCCTGCATAGACATCTTTGCACATAGAAGTCCAATTTATTAGATAAAAGCTTTCTCTGCTCAAAGCCTGCTGTGGCTCCCACTATCTCTAGAATAATACCCAAGCATCAGGCAGAAGAGGAAATATGTGAACACTGAGAGATGAATACATCAAGAAGCGAGCTGGAGAAGGGCTTTTCCATGTAGGAGTAGCACATGTGGCATGGTTCGGCTGTGACCCTACACAGATCTCATCTTGAATTGTAATCCCCATAATCCCACGTGTCTAGGGAGAGACCTGGTGGGGGTGACTGGATCATGGGGGCAGTTTCCCCCATGCGGTTTTAGTGAGTGAGTTCTCGTGAGATATGATAGTTCTATAAAGGGCTCCTCTCCCTTCACTCCTCACTCTGCTCTCTCCTGCTGCCATGTGAGAAGGTCCAAGCTTGCTTCCCCTTCGCCTTCCGTGTGATTGTAAGTTTCCTGAGGCTTCCCCAGCCACGTGGAACTGTGAGTCAATTAAAGCTCTTTCCTTTATAAATTACCCAATCTCAGGTTATTTCTTTATAGAAGTGTGAAAACAGACTAATACATCATGCAAAATCTGGGAGCCCCAAAGCAGATGGTGCCTTTGGGAAATGGTGGCTTGGCTGGAGCCAGGAGCCAGAGGCAGAAAGCTGCAGGAGCAGTGAGAGATCAAACTGCAAGATAGGATGGTCATGCTAAGTTCATAGGCACTATGCCCAGGTCAGTAGGAAATGATGAAAGCTTTTTTCTTTTTTGTTTTGGAACCGGAGTCCTGCTCTGTTGCCCAGGCTGAAGTGCAGTGGCACGATCTCGGCTCACTGCAATCTCTGCCTCCCAGGTTCAAGTGATTCTCCTGCCTCAGCCTCCCGAGTAGCTGGGATTACAGGCGCCCACCACCACCACGCCTGGCTAATTGTTGTATTTTTAGTAGAGATGGGGTTTTTCCGTGTTGGCCAGGCTGGTTTCAAACTCCTGACCTCAGGTGATCCGCCTGCCTTGGCCTCCCAAAGTGCTGGGATTACAGGGGTGAGCCACCACACCTGGCCTTGATGAAAGACTTTCAAAAAGAAAGTGTCAAGATCCAACTGGTACACATCTCAGAAAATGACAAGAACCCATAGACACGCAGACACTCAGTACAAACTTACTGAATTAAAGTGGTTTACCCAAAACGAAATCCATCTGGGAATCTCATGCATGCAAACATCATTGTTGCCACCATTACAAGGGCAGAATGCTGGCATGCCTGAAAAGATGGCTGTTACTCTTTTTGTTTCAGGATGGTACTTTCTTGGTCCGAGATTGTTCCACAAAATCCAAGGAAGAGCCCTATGTTTTGGTTGTGTTTCATGAGAACAAAGTCTACAATGTAAAAATCCGCTTCCTGGAGAGGAATCAGCAGTTTGCCCTGGGGACAGGACTCAGAGGAGATGAGGTGGGTATAACTTAACAGCTTCCCTGTTCCAGGCTAAGCTCAACAAATAAAGGAAGAGTTTGGGGGATGTCGTTCCGGAGGAGGAGGATGCTGCCCTGAAGAACGGGGATGTAGGCTGACCTCCCCACCCCTTCCACAAATATCTGCATATCTTACACTTTGGCCTACCAGGCCAGCGGCCAGGTTTGACCATTTCATGCACCCCCGTTGCCTGCCTTGCCTATTAAAGAAAACTCATTCTACAAGACACATCTAAACTCTGCCTCCCAGGAAGCCTCCAGAGGAGCATACACTAATGCCAAATTCCTTTCCCTCCTCAGCACTGAAATGCCCACTGCAGACATTTCTGATGTCTGTCGGAATTCCTTAACTATAGATTTGTGTCCCCAAAATGAATGTGAAACCAGCCACAGCATTCGGGCTATGTTGAGCATGCCTGTCCTCAGTACAGATCTGCTGATGGGGGCGAAAGAATGAATCAATTAAAATATTCGTGAATAACAGAAATCGATCCACAAGAAAGGGGAAATTTTCACTGCATATGTATATGCCAGGCCTAGTCTATCTGCATTATTATTATTATCATTTTGAGACAGAGTCAGACTGTCACCCAGGCTGGAGTACAGTGGCATGATCTCAGCTCACTGCAACCTCCTCCTCCCGGTTCAAGTGATTCTCCTGCCTCAGCTTCCCGAGTAGCCAGAATTACAGGCATGTATCACCAAACCCAGCTAATTTTTATATATTTTTTAGTAGACATGGGGTTTCACCATGTTGGTCAGGCTGGTCTCAAACTCCTGACTTCAGATGATCTGCCTGCCTCAGCCTCCCAAAGTGCTGGGATTACAGGCGTGAGCCACTGTGCCTGGCCAGCATTATCTTATTTTGATCCTCCACAACTCTTTGGAGTCATGATTTTTCCTATCTTAGATGTAGGAAAACTGAGGCTCAGAAAATTAAATAAATGGCCAAAGACACACAGGCAGTAACGGAAGGGGGAAGGAGAGGCTGTTCTTGTAACTCTTCTGTTGATGAAGGAAGGGGTAAAGGAAGGAAGGAACGAAGTCAATTACGAGCCACCATTTCTAAGGGTGTGAGCTCAGGCCGGTGACTTAACTTCCCTGGGCTTTAATTTCCTCAAATGTAAATGTTATTTTAAAGCCTAGACTTCAGTAATTTAGTGATTCCCATGTAGCATCTCCAGGTTGCAGTTTTATCTGTGGGTGTGCATTGTTAGGGGCTGAATCGTGCCTCCCTCACTCCAAAAAACCCACACGTTGAAGTCCTAACCCCCAGTAGCCCAGAATGTGACTGTATTTGAAGATAGGGCTTTGAAAGAGATAATGAAGGTTAAATGAGGTTATTGGGATGAGTCCTAATCCAATATGACTGATGTCCTTGTGACAAGAGGAGACACACACAGAGGGGCGACCATGTGAGGACACGGGGAAGGGATGACCATCTGCAAACCAAGGAGAGAGGTCGTGGGAGAAAGCAGCCTTCCAACACCTTGGTCTTGGGACTTCAGCCTCGAGAACCGCGAAGAAAGACATTTCTGTTGTTTAAGCCCCCTCGTCTGTAGTGCTTAGTTACAGCAACCTTGACAAACGAACACAGGATAAAACCAGAACTTTCACACAGATACCGACTGTTTTTCAACAAGTAACAAAATAGGGCACATTGTTAGGGCTGCCAACAGGCCTCAGGTAGGCACACGTGTGAAATCGACGTGCAGGCTGCATAAAGATTCCAGCTTAAATCCCGTGTCTGACCCAGAGCACTTTTTTGAGGCTCGGAGAGGAGTAGTTAGCACCTGTGAGGTGACCATGGGGTCAGTTCACCACCCTTTGCTATAGCCCGGGAACACTGTGACATGAACAAGTGCATAAGTGAATCCATAGATTAATACATAAATCTACCAGTTACAGTCACATTAAGAAAGTGCTATGTTAACACGAAAGAGAGAAGTGGCCAGTTCTTTATTTTGTGGAGAGGATTGACAAGTTAATACATGTAAAACACTTAGTGCCTGGGACCTATCAAGGCCATGATAAATTTTAGTTATATTTTTGTCACTATTACTGAGTCATTTTAATAAGTAGGATATAGTCCCCCTAAGATACCTATGGTAATGGACTTTCCAACTCAATGTCCCTTGATCCTCCTATATCTTGTCTCAGCTCATAGAATTTCTCATCTTTAGGAAAGCATTATATAATTCTTATTTCTTTATTTATTTATTTTGAGACAGGGTCTTGTTCTTGTTGCCCAGGCTGGAGTGCAGTGGCATGATCTTGGCTCACCGCAACCTCTGCCTCCCTTGTTCAAGCCATTCTCCTGCCTCAGCCTCCCGAGTAGCTGGGATTACAGGCATGTGCCACCACGCCTGGCTAATTTTGTATTTTTAGTAGAGATGGGGTTTCTCCATTTTGGTCAGGTTGGTCTGGAACTCCTGACCCCAGGTGATCTGCCCACCTTGGCCTCCCAAAGTGCTGGTATTACAGACATGAGCCACCGTGCCCGGCCAGGAAAGCATTATATAATTCTTAAATGCTTGGGTTTAAGGGGTTTTTTTCCTCTGAGAATAGAGGATGTGGACATGGTGTGCCTTTGCATGTGCCAGGCCCTTGGGCCAAATGCTGTTTAATTTGCTCTCACATGGAGTTCTTGAAAAAGCTCTGGAAAGGACATCTTAATGAACCTCATTTACTGGTGAGGAAACTGAGACCTGAGATAGTTACAGCTTTTTTTTCCAACATGCCCTACTTTGGTCTGCTAATAAAGAAAAGGAAGTAGAGTGACTCTGTGATAATATCCTAATAGCTTAATCAGACTGTCAGCCGGTTCACTGACTGTCTCGGCAAATAAGGAGCAACTCCTATGGCAGGCCATAGATTAGACCTTCCGCCTCCAGATGAGCTGCTCTAATTACTGTCACCAAGGAACCCTGAGAGAACCAAATGTCTGTTTTAAGAAGCTCCTTTCTGTGTTCATCTGGAATTTTCTCCTCCTTTGCATTCCCTGTTTTTTTCCCATATGTGTTGAACATACATTTCCACAGGTGAAAGAATGAATCAATGAAAGCATTCACTAATAATATAAATATATATACATAAATCAAGCAATGAGAAAGAAATCCAAGGCAGAATCCTGAGTTTTGGTGGGGTTTTATATGCACTAGAACTATTCTGTGCAGTTAGCCATTAATAACTAATTCGATCTATTGAATCCTCATAGCCAAGCTCTGGGGTAGGTGCTGTCAATATTTCATTTTAACAAACTGTGACACTGAGGCACAGAAATGCTAAGTATCTGGCCCAAAGTCACAGCTAGTAAATGGCGATTCTGGGATGCAGTATGTTTTGCAAAACATTGACTTCCATTACCAGTTGAAGGTATGCAGATTCTTGGCGTCTTGAGCCAAAAATTGGCAAAACACACAAACAAAGCAAGGAAAGAATGAAGCAACAAAAACAGAGATTTATTGAAAATGGAAGTGCACTCCACAGGATGGGAGTGGCCCAGGCACAGGGGCTCGAGCACCCTTACAGAATTTCCTGCGGTTTAAATATCTGCTAGAGGTTTCCATTGGTTACTTGGTGTTCATCCTATGTAAACGAAGAGGATAAAGTAAAGTTACAGTCATTTACTCAGTGTAGGCCCTATGTAAATAGAAAGGATATATCCTGTCACAACTGAAGTGTTTCCATTTGATTTGGTTCTAGGAAGCCCTTAGATTCCCTGCCTCCAGGCCCTATTTTCATGTCTCGCTTCCATAGACAGACTCAAATAACACTGTGGCAAATACAAGTAATCACCCACCCGTTTGAAAACACTGCAGGTTGAATCACAGTTAAAGAATAGTTAACACTTACTTGGAGCTTACTGTGTGCCAGGGAGTGGGTAAAAAAATGACAATTCACAGGTGGTTTCTTCCTGCCTTCCCTCTGAGGGAGATGTGTAAGAGAAAGAGGGTCTGGATTTTACTCAGTTCCCTCATGCTTTTCACAGCCTGAGCCTTTTGTCTTGCTGAGGAAGAATCACACCTCTTTAAAACAAGATTAGCAAGACTCTGCTAAATGCAAGCCAACAACTAGCTACTTTAGCCAGGGTCCAATTAAAGAAAGCATCTTCACCCAACTCAGCAGGAAAAACATGAGAAACAGCATCTTCAAAGATTACTTTAATTTCATGTCGTTTTGTAGCTATCTTGCCGCTTTTGAATTTAACCACACAGATGATGCAGCAATGCCTAACTCTTGGGAGTTATTTTGAGTGTGACATGAGTTGATGTAAATAGTGGCAGACACATAGAGGCAGGTGCTTAATAAGTACCACTTCCCCAGAAACTTCGCAGTTTAAAACAACTGAAATGTATTGTTTCACAGTGCTGGAGGACAGAAGTCCAACATCATGGTATCAGCAGGGCCACACTCCTTCCGGAGACTCCAGGGGAGAGTCACCCTGACCTCTTCCAGCTTTCCGCAGCTGCCAGCAATCCTTGTCTTCCTTGATTTATGGCCATGTCACTCCAGTCTCAGCCTCTATGGTCACATGACCTTCTCCTCTCTACGGTCACGTGACCCTCTCCTCCTCCTCTCTATGGTCACGTGACCTTCTCTTCTCTGATCAAAATCTCCCACTGCTCCTACCTTATGAAGAAACACATGATTGCTTTTAGGGCCTACTGGGATAACCTCGGATAAGCACCCCCTCTCAGGATCCTTAACTTTATCCTGTATTATACCATATAAAATAGTATCAACTCTTTTATAATGTAAGGTCATATTCTAGATTCTGGGATTAGGACACGGACATATTGGGGGGAATCATTCAGCACCCGCTGCTCATTTACTTATTTATTGTCCGAGCATTAATTGTAGGCCTACAGTATGTTAGACTCAGTGTTGCATTCTGGGAACACAGAAAGAGTCATGTCAAGTCCCTGCCATCCAGAGAATACCCTTTTCATCTATGCCAATCTCCGTAGGCACCTAAGC